GAAAAAAAAAAAAAAAAAAGCAAATGACCTAGCATTTATAGGTCATGAGTTCCCTGTAATTGAAAGAGTATTGAGTATTGATACATTTTCTTTCTTTAGACAGGGTCTCGCTATGCAGTTTGGGCTGGCCTTGCACTCACTCTGTAGCCCAGGCTGGTCTTGCACTTGCAATGATCCTCTCAGTCTCCCAACTGCTGGGATTACAGGCGTGTGCCACTAGCTTGATATATTTTCATTTTACTAAAAAGACAAAAAAAAAAAAAAAAAAATTTCATTTTACTGAGATTTAGAAAAAATTTTGATATAACTTTTTTTTTTGTCAAGAGTTTCACTATATAGTTCAGACTGGCCTTGAACTCGAGGTAATCCTCTATCTCAGCCTCCAGACTTTTGGGTTTAGAGGTGTGCACCCAATTTAACATTATTTTTCTTTTTTTTTTTGATTTTTCATTTTTATCGGTACCAGGGATCGAACTCACAACTGCCTGCTTTCAAAGCAGGCGCTTATTCCACTGAGCTAAATCCCCAGCCTAACATAATTTTTCTATAAGCTTGTACTCAAACCTGGCATAACAACCTGTTAGACCAATTTACTGAAAGGATTATGTTAGTCTCTCTTAATGTAAGATTACTTAACAGTTCACTAAAAAGAGAGCCAGGCATGGTGGTATACACCTGTAATCCCAGCACTTACGAGGCTGAGGCAAGAGATCACCACATATTCAAGGCTCGCCTAGTATAGAGAGTGAGTTTAAGGCCAACCTACACTACAATGCGAGACTGTTGCAAAAAAAACAAAAAAATAAAAGAGAGAAAATAATTATTCTTCAAATGGTGTTATAATCTTGGCATAAAAAAGGATAGGTTCAAAATGCCATACAAGAATAAAGGACAGTCAGACATAGTGATGCATGCCTGTAATCCCTGTACTCTGGAGGCTGAGGCAGTAGAATCACTATGAGTTTAAGGTCAGCCTGGGCTACACAGTTCAAAACCAGCCTGAACCACATAGCAAGACCTTTTCTCAAAAAAAAAAAAAAAAAAAAAAAAAAGGTCGGGGGCTGTGGATTTAGCTCAAGCACCTGCCTTGCAAGCAGGTGGTTGTGAGTTCGATCCCCAGGACTGGAAAAAAAGAAAAAAAAAAAAGTCAAGTTAGTGCTCAGTGCCTCTAATCCCAGCATCTTGGGAGGCTAAAGCAGGAAGACAAGTTTGTGGCCAGACATGGCAAGACCCCCATCTCCAAAAAATAAAAGACAACATTGCTGTTATGATTAATGAGACTCAATTTTTTAGTGTAAATCCTCTGGATTACTACAAAAACTATAATTTATATAGATTACACATGTGGGGCTGGGAATTTAGCTCAATGGCATAAATGCCTGCCGGGCAAGCATGAGGTTGTGTGTTTGATCCTCAGTACCAAAAACAAAAAAAAAAAAAAACAGCAACAAAAGTGCATTCACAGTATGCATTAATTTCAAATATCAGGTATATATCACATCAGCACCTGAGATGTAGCTGAGAGATGGAGTACTTGCCTAGAATCTGCAAGCCCCATGGTTCAATCCTTAGTGTAATCAACAATTAATGTTTAAGAAACTTTTAAAAGGCAAAAAGCTGGCAAGCATCTCTCAGGAGGGTGAGCCAAAAGGATTGTCAAGTACGGATGAGACTCACCTGGGCAATTTGGTGAGACCTTGCCTCAAAATAAAATTTAAAAAGCAAGGGCTGAGCAGGCAGCATCCCAGCACTTGGGAGGCTGAGGCAGGAGGATTGCTGCAATTTTGAAGTCAGCCTGGGCTACAAAGTGAGTTCAAGGCCAGCCAGAACCATACAGTGAAACCCTACCCCCCCCCCAAAAAAAGCAAGAGCTGAAGGGTTCGAGTCCTGGTTTTTAAGAAAAAAAAAGTGGGGGGAGGCTGGATGAGTTAAGCATTCCTTGGATTCAATTCCCAGCACTAAAGCAATAAAAGTGAGATCAATTCAGTATTTTCAATATATAAGCCCATATTCAGCTTAAAGCAAATTTTGGAAATTCATGCTGCAGGGGAGAAAAAAAAAAGGTAAACCGGATGTGGTGGTACATGCCTATAATCCCAGCACGCAGGAGGCAGAAGCAAGAGGACCACCATGAGTTCCAGGTCACCCTGGGCTACATAGTGAGCTCAGGACTTGCCTCAATTACACAGCAAGACCCTGTTTCAGGAGAAAAAAAAAAGCAAGGCAGTTAAGGAGTTTACAGCAAATACAGTATTAAAACATGTTCCTGTGGCGGAGTCCTTAAAAGCAACAACTAAATTCATCTAAAAAAGAAAAGAATTGGATGTGATGCCATACTCCTGGAATTCCAGCACTCAAGAAGTTGAGGCAGGATTGTTGTGAGTTCAAGGCCAGCCTGAAGTACACAGCAACACCCTGTCTCAAAAATCAAACTAATAAAAAAGAAAGAAAAATGAATAAAAAAGCCAAGCATGATGGCATATGGCTATAATCCCAGCACTTGGGAGGCTGAGATTGAAATATCACCACAGGTTCAAGGCCACTAGGAAACAAGGTAAGTCTGAAGTACACAGCAAGATCCCATCTCAAAAACAAACAAAAGGTCAAGTGTGAGGATATACTTCTATAACCTCAGAACTTAGGAGGCTAAGGCAAGAGGGGAGGAGAATTTTAAAAATTCAGTCACCAGCTTTGACAATATAGGGAAACCCTGTCTCAAAAACTGTAGAATGGGGGCCTGGGGATTTAGCTCAGCGGCATAAGCACCTGCCTTGCAAGCAGGCAGTCGTGAGTTCGATCCCTGGTACCGATAAAAATGAAAAAGACAAAAAAAAAAAAAAAAATGTAGAATGGGCTAGGGATGTAGCAAAGGACTACCTGCAATACCACAAGAGACAGAAAATTAAAAAAAGAAAAAGAGTCACCAATCACCAATACACTAGTGCCATCATCTGTGCCCTTGTGCTCCCTGCAATGAGACCTAGATGACAAGGGCATAACATATTTGAAATCACAGCTTCTGAAGGTTCAGTCTACCAAGAAAAACAAATGATTTCTCTCCACTGATTTCCAATGATTCCTCAAGAGCAAAATCCTACTGATAGGTGCCTAGCTCACAAAGAACGGGAAGACAGACTTCAAACAAATGAGAATGAAAAGGACAGAGTCAGATATGGACACGTATACACGTGTTCACTTATTTCTTCTGTGAATTACAAAATGATCAGAAAGTCCTTCTAGGGGCTGGGGATTTAGCTCAGCGGCATAAACGCCTGCCTTGCAAGCAGGCAGTCGTGAGTTCGATTCCCGGTACCGATAAAAAGGAAAAAGACAAAAAAAAAAAAAAAAAACAAACAGAAAGTCATTCTAATATAAATTTAAGAGTAACTCCGTTAACAACATAGAGATGAGTTGCTTGAGATGTGTTTGTTATCTTCCTATAAAAAAAAAAAAAAGATCTGAACAACCAGATTATAAAGAAATTCTGAGTACAGTAAAGTTTGCAGATCTGCAAATCAAGACCACACGATTGCCTGGTCATGCAATTCAAATGATGAATATTGTCTGAGGTAAGACCATCTCAACAACTGCAAGAGAGCCCTGCAGAAAGAACTTTCATTAAAAAAAAAAAAAAAAAAATCATCAAAGCTAAGGACAGCACTTGCCTACCATGCTTGGAGCCCTGGGTTCAATGTTCAGCACAGCAAAAACTAAAAAGCAGTAAGCAGTGCATAATGGCACACAGCAAAAATTAAAAAGCAGTAAGCAGTGCATAATGGCACACACCAGTAATCCCAGCATTCAGCAAATCCAGGATGACTGGAAATTCAAGGCCAGCCTGGGCTACATAGTGAGTTCAAAGCTAGCTGAACTATATACTAAGCCTTACCTCAAAAAAACAGGTAGCTGAATAAATAAAAAGTAGTAGCAAAACAATGCCCATTTGCAGAAAGTTACCCTCACACTGCTGTCAAAAAACTCAGATGATTTCAACCAACACTAGAGAATCCCACACTTACTCTTCCTATAACCTAGGTCCCCCAGTCCCATTAGTTTCCCAAAAGATCTTATCTCTAGAGTGAAAAGCAAGCGCCCCTATCTACTCTTGAGTTTCCTCCACTCCCGACAAATGATTTCTGCTCTAGACTCTCTGAACTTGAACTGTCCAATCCCTCACCACTCAGGAGCCTATATGAATGCCAGGCTCTTCTAAAGAGCATCAGGAAGAACTGAAACTTTGGTTCAACCGGAGGATCCGTCTGTGACTCCCTCTCTTAGCACCTAGCACAAGGCCGTGTTTAATGCGCCTTGAGGGGAACCGAAGGGCACACACAGACGCGTGCAGAATTCCAGGCTCGCACCTCGCTGGCCCCTCATCACCCTTTTGGGCAGGGCGCTGTCAGACGCTTGGGCCTGCACCGTCGGGGTCCCAGGCTCAGGCTGATCCCGTGCAGCCTGCAAGGGGCGGTTCAGTCTCTTGCATGTTTACCTACGACTGCTTAAGTGAATTCCAGCCAAGGTGGTCCTCGCGGACACCTATGGATCTTTGGAACACAAAGGCCGTCCGTACAGCCATATGGAGTCTCGTAACTTCTCATACATCGCCATTCACAGGCGACTCTCGGGCTGGCCCCGGAGAGACTCGTCTCGGTGGTGTTGTGGACTTAGCTGCCCCAGGGCTTCTGGCACCGTGACTTTTGAGTCTGACAAACAAGTCAGGCCTCTAAGGCCTGGCTTGAGAAGTGTGCACTCCGCATCCGAGCTCCCGCCTTTCCTGCTCGGAGGCTGGGACCAAGTTTCCCGCCCTGCGGCCCAAGCACAGGTCCGCAGCAGTTAGAGGCGGATGGGGCCCGTCCCAGCAGGTTGGAACCGGTCTGGGCCGGGCCGGAGGAACAAGGGGGGGGGAGGGAGAGGCCGCCTCGCGCTCTCCTGCACGCGTGACTCACGCTGGCCGCTGACGTCAGGCGTGCGCGCGCGGCGGGGGGGGGCGCTCTACGTACGTGTAGTGCTGCGGTTTCTCGGGCTGTGCCTGCAGCACCTGAGCGGTAGCGGCCGGGGGCGCCGAGGAAGCTGCGGAGCCGGCGGGCCCGGGGCCCTTCGACATGGTCCTGTCTTCCTGCCTCTTCGCCGCTCCCCTTTTATTATTCAGTCTGCGCGGTCCGCGGCTAGGACTCAGTGCGCTTGCGCCGCGCCACGAAAACGTGAAGACCCCCCGCACGAGGGCAAGGGTTGCTGGGAGTTGCGGTCCTCCGCGCCGTTGAAATTTTACCGTCGGCAGAGGCTTGCTGCCAGAGGACGAGACCACACTACCCAAGAGGCCTTGCGGATAATGTCCCGGATTCTGAGGCTCCGCGATGGCTTCTGGGAATTGCAGTCCGAGCATGCTCCCTTTACATTCGCGTTTTCAGTTTCCGAAGGCAGACTTCCCTTGTTACTGTGAAGCCGCTGGAGGAAAAGGGATCCAGAACTCTTGAGGTCCTAGTGACTTCTGCAAAACAGTTCCAAATATAATTTCACTGAAATAAATACCTTACCTCCATACTCAGTGCAGCTTTGGCACGGTTGTAATACTAGCTCAAGCGGTGCACCTCGCAGGCTTTAAGACTTATTGTCAGTTATTAGCTCTGGGCCTTTGTACTTCAGGCACCTGGAGTTGGCTAACATCATCCTCATCGCTGCAGTACAGCTAACCTGACAAGGGAAACCTGATGCTGGAGTCAGTTTGAGAAACCTTTGCTAAGGAAAATCTATGCTAAGCAAGAGGCCCCACGCCTTTGCCAGACACTACTGATACCTGCAACTGGACGGCTTGGGTCCCTTCCCACCTAAACACCTGACCTGACTAAGTTGTTTCCAGTCCATTAAGGACCAATGGTGAATGTAATCTGTCCAGAACAGCCTTACAGGTCCACTAGCAAGTTGCAGGGATGTTAAACGTATTAAGAGTGAGAAAAGGACTGGGTTTGAGTAGTGGGTGTACATTATAAACCACTCTAGTTTTGGACCCAGACTCTATTTGGGAAAATGTTTTCCCCCTTATACTCCTACCAGGGAGGCATAGTTGTTTTTTGTAAAATAAACCAGTTGCAGACTAGGTATGGTGGTGCATACCTATAATCTCAGCACTCAAGAGGCTGAGGCAGGAGGATAGCTGAGAGTTTAAGGCCAGCCTGACCTGCATAGTGAGACAATTAAAAATAAATAAATACATACATAAAAAGTAGGGCAGAGGTGGGGACATAGCTCAGCAGCACAGTGCATACCTGGCAAGCCTAAGGTCCTGAGTCCAAGTCCCAGTACCAAAAACCAAAAAAAAGTTCATAATGAATAACATTTGTCAACTAACTTTGTTTTAGGTATTAAATCTATTTAAAATCCATTGTTTTAAAGAGCAATGGGGGCTGGGGATTTAGCTCAGTGGCACAAGCATCTTCCTGGCAAGTGCAAGGTCTTGAGTTCGATCCCTGGTACCAAAAAATAAAAATTCAAAGCCAGGTGTAGTGGCTCACGCCTGTAATCCCAAAACTCGGGAGGCTAAGGCAGTAGCATCGTTGCAAATTCAAGACTAGGCTGGGCTATACAGTGAGCTCAAAGCTAGTTTGAACAGCATAGTGAGATAAGACCCTGTCTCAAAAAGACAATAAAATTAAAAATTAAAATTAACTAAACAGTGATTGGCATTTTATTAAATGAGATTATGTTAGGTAATGAAGGTCTCATTAAAAAGCATTCTGATGGGGGCCAGGGATTTAGCTCGGCAATGTACGCGCTCACCTGGCAAGTGCGAATTCCATTCCCAGTACCAAAAAAAAAAAAAAAAAAAAAGCATTCTGAGCCCGGTGTGGTGGTGCACAACTGTAACCCCAGCACTGAGGAGGCTGAGGCAGGAGGATCACTGTGCATTTGAGTCCAGTTTAGGCTACACAGCAAGACTCTGTCTCAAAAAATAATAATAATTCTCAATAACCTTAGGGATGAAGGAGAGTAAGACAAGCGGAACATTTTTACTATTAAAGAGTGACTCATATTTCTTTATTCTTTAGTTCAGAATAATTTCACACACGAAGCTAGATTGTCAGCTTAAAAAGGTGAGAAACTGGTCTTTCCTAAGCAGGCCAAATCCATCCTTTAGCCACTAGGTTCCTCTGAGGATGAAAAATCGCAAAGAACAAAATTATTGCTTTGTGGGAGTATGGGTGCATACTGCTTTAAATCTGATTAAACCGGGGCTGGAGGTTTAGTTCAGCGGCATAAGCGCCTGCCTTGCAAGCAGGCAGTCCTGAGTTCGATCCCCAGTACCAATAAAAAGGAAAAAAACAAACAAAAAAAATCTGATTAAATCCACATACTTGGTTTGTATGTTGGCCTGAAACACCTGAGTGTGCTCTCACTGCAGAACTATAGTCTACAGCACTAGATTTTAAATAATAGATGTATAACATGAGCTTTAGAATAAGGGTATACTGGTAGAATTAGGAGATACAAGCCAAACTGATTAACTTACAAAAGAAGAAACTGAAACCCAGAGAAGTAATAACTTTCAGAAAGTTACTCAGCAAATTGGTGACAGAACAGGAATTAGGATAGTAACCTCTATGCTGCATCACATTTACTGTTTTTGGGTTTTGTGTTTGTTTTTGTTTGCAGTGTGAAGGGTTGAAGTCAGATCCTCTCTGATCAGACTAGGCAAGCCTTCCATCAGTGTCAAACTCCCAGCTGTGTTTGCTAGGGTTTTTATTGTATTGTATAGAAATTTTCAGTTCTTCCCCACTTCCTGCATTGTTTTTCCTCTCCTATGCCAGTTTAGAAAAAAAGAAAAGCTTGTATGACTACCAGGTAAAATGGGGAGACCATTTCCACTAATTATCCTAAAACAAACAAGTGTACATCCATACGTTGTTTATCCTAGAGCAGGTGTTTTATTTTTTTGGTCTTTTACAAAGGGCAAAACTGAGTGGAGTAACTGTCCCTCCTCCTAAGAGAGAGGAAAATGACAAGGCTCTGAATTTCCTAGAAAATCTGTGAAACACAAAGTGAATGTGTGCATGCCTGCGTGTGCCAGCAGTCAGTTCAGGAGCTCATTCCTCCTTCAGGCCAGTGAATTGTCAAAAAAGAGGATGAGACTAAAAAGAAAAAAAAAAACAAAAAAAAAAAAGAGGATGAGACTGAGGAAGGTAGTAGAAGCTTAGTCTGTAACTCCTCTACTTGGGAGACTGACAGAAGGACTGAAAGTGTAAAGTGTGGACAACTTAGGAGATGTATGTATCTCAGTGATAGAATACTCAGGGTTTAATTCCCAGTAATGGGAATGGGTTGGGTGAGGACAGCAAGATATACTAGGGTACTAGTATCTAGTATCATTTGACAATCTCCTATGTAAATCTAAGTAGTTTGCCATTTTTTTTTCTCTTTTCTGGTACCGGGGATCGAACTCACGACCGCCTGCTTGCAAGGTAGGTGCTTATGCCGCTAAGCTAAATCCCCAGCCCTCCCCCCCCGGCTTTTTTTTTTAGTCTGTCATTTTTTAACTTTTCACATTTTGAGGACCGACCAGTAGCCTGGATCTTGCACTCTCCCTAGGATAGGAGTGAAATAATTGTTTCTCTACCCTTATGTCTCACTATGCAATTCAGCTGGTCTTGACCTCACTTAGTAGCCCAGGGGCGTCTCAACTTTGCAAAGGTCTTTCCTGCCTCAGCCTCCCAAAATGCTGGGATTACAAGTGTGTACCACCACACCTGGCTCCACCCCAATCTTTGAGCAGAAGCCACAAATTAAAGTTTGTTAAGTTATTATATGGGGGCCTGGGGATGTAGCTCAGTGGTAGAGCACTTGCTTAGCATGCAGGAAGCCCTGGGTAATACTCCATATTATAAAATAAAGAAAGGGGAGCCAGGCATGGTGGCATGTGCCTGTAATCCCAGCACTTGGGAGGCTGAGGCAAGAGGATCATGCAAATTTGAAACCACCTTGGGCTCAAAGTGAGCTCAAGGCCACCATGAACTGCATAGTGAGACCCTGTCTCAAAAAAAAGACAAAAGAAAATAAAAAAAGGGAATTTAGCACCAAAGGTGGGACCAAAAATGCTTCTGCCATAGCTACTTTTTCAAATTATCCATTTTTTTCTGCACTGTTGATACCAAACCTTTGGTGTGGCAAGTAAATATTGATATATTTGTACTTAGGTACAGTAACTTAGTTGAAATCTTATTTGCCTAGTTCTACTTTTTAATAATTTAAAATACTTAATGAATCATATGAGTCATAGCTATCAAGCATAGTGCCCAAGGCTCTCGATCTTTTTTCTGAGCTTTCTTTGGCTGGTTTAATATTTTATTTTATTATTCCTTAAGGCTGGTTTGATATTTTTATTATTGTTATTGTTTTTATGAGACAGGGTCTTGCTATTCGGTTCTGGCTGGACCTGGGCTCACTTTGTAGCCCAGGTTGGTCTCAAATTTGCAAATATCTGCCTGCCTCAGCCTCCCACGTGCTGGGATTATAGGAGTGCATCACCATGCCTATTTTTTTTTTTTTTTTTGTCTTTTTCATTTTTATTGGTACCAGGGATCGAACTCACAACTGCCTGCTTGCAAGGCAGGCACTTATGCCGCTGAGCTAAATCTCCAGCCCCCCATTCCTGGTTTTGATATTTTATATATTTGAAGCATCTAGAGAATTGACTACAAACTGACCAAGACATTTATTTAGGCAAAGCCAGGCATGGTGGTGCACATCTGTTATCTCAGTATTTGTGAGGCTGAGACAGGAGTATCGCCAAAAGTTTGAGGCCAGCCTGGGCTACATAGTGGCCAGCCTAAACTGCACAGTAAGACTCTACCTCAAAATAAAAAACCAAAGCAAACAAACGTTTATTTAGACAAAGATAGTATCATTTTCAAGTATGAAAATGTTTCTTTTCAGAAGTAATGCCTGACAGGTATACCATCAAACCCAAAGATACATATTTAATTATCTTTTGCTTATTCTTTATGGATGTATAAATAATATAGTCAGACAATTCCGTTTCCGACTGTAATTCTTCCATTGAGTTGAATTACCTAATTTAAGACATAGTTGACAAGTAAGTTACCTCTCATTTTGTACTGTATATTGAAATCACAAAACATTTTGTGGCAGCAAAATGTTACTTCTGAGATCAATTATTCACATTTGTTTCTTTGTAGCTAGTACCCTTCCCCCCACCAAACAAAAGAACTACACGTTGGTTTAAAAAGTAAATGTATGCTATATAAGAACTTAACAATATAGCATGATTTACTAAATTCTCACACTATGTACTTAAAAATCAAAATGTGATGAAAAATAAATAGGCCAAGATGCTTTCTGTCCAGTTCAGTTTAGGTAGCCTCTCCTGCCTTGCATTAGCTTGCTACAAATAAATTTAAGCTCCTGCCCACCCAGACTTTCTTAAATTCTGATAGGGACCAGTGCAATTCATTTGCATTGACTTTCTATTGTAGAGCTTTGGAACCAAGGGAAGGATCCAAACATAGCTCTATTTTATCCAATCAGAAGAGCTGCTTAGTGCTAAACTCTGATTCGCCCATTCTTCTTTGCATCCATCCAATCGTGAGGCAACTTTAACAGCCAATCAGCAGCCTAAACATTCGCCAATCAGAGAACGGGGCCGAAGCACGGCCTTTGTGTCGGGGGATGTCAGCGCGTCGGCGAAAGCTCAACCAATAGAAAAAGTCGTTGGTGTATGCAAATCAGTGTCCTATGACGCAGATACGCAGCGTGAAGCGTGAGTATAAAAACGGAGGCGTCGGGGGGTTTGGATCGCAGAGCAGTTTAGTCGTTCGTTGGAGGGTTTTCCTGTTCTTGGTGACTGCGGCTGTTGCTTGAACGCCGGTGCGGCGGTCGGAAAAACAACCTGCGACTTCAGCATTGGGTAAGTGTTTCCAGTTTTCCATATGACTTAAGTCTGGTCGGCCGTTGATGCTATGGGTCGCGGCCGTTGGAAGTCAATTGTTGGGTGGCACGGCAGCTCCTGGGGTGGCTAGCTCGGGTGTAAGGTCAGAAGGTTTCCCCTTGGGCTTGGTTCCGGAATCGCGTCTCCCGGTGGTGATTCAGAGGTCCCGACGCCAGGTTTCGGGCACCTGGGCCTCCGCCCGTCGAGAGAGGGAAGTGACTCCTCCCTACACTCCCCCCTCCCCGGGGAGGCTGTTGCTCTTTGCAGCCTGAGTCATTAGAGGAGGGGAGGAGGCAGTGGCCCTCGGCCATCTGCCACCGAGAGGTGGGGCACGAAGAGGCGGGAGGGCAGAGGCGCGGTGCTCTTTTCCGCACCACCCCCAAAGGCGACGGAGGAGAGCTGGGCTGGAAGAGCTTCGCGGCCTTTATCTTCGCGGTTGTGTGTTTTAGGTAAAAGAAAATGGCTCGAACCAAGCAGACTGCGCGTAAGTCCACTGGTGGGAAAGCCCCCCGAAAACAGCTGGCCACTAAAGCTGCCAGGAAAAGCGCTCCCTCTACCGGCGGGGTGAAGAAACCTCATCGCTACAGGTAGGCAAAACAGAAGGGAAACAATGACTTGGCGATGGCCAGCATTGTGTCCTAGCGCCCGAGCCTCATGGTGTCATTTTATATCCTCTCTTTCAGGCCTGGAACCGTGGCGCTTCGAGAGATTCGTCGCTACCAGAAATCGACTGAGCTTCTCATTCGGAAGCTACCTTTTCAGAGATTGGTGAGAGAGATTGCCCAGGATTTCAAGACCGACTTGAGGTTTCAGAGTGCAGCTATTGGTGCTCTGCAGGTAAGGGGACAAACAAGATTTTGCAAATGGGAGGGGGCGCTGCTGGTGTGGATTCTCCGATGGGGTTAATGGTGTGGCTCTTGTCCTCAACAGGAGGCTAGTGAAGCATACCTGGTGGGCTTATTTGAAGATACTAATCTGTGTGCCATTCACGCCAAGAGAGTCACCATCATGCCCAAAGACATCCAGTTGGCCCGCCGGATACGGGGAGAGAGAGCTTAAGTGAAGGCAATTTTTATGGTGTTTTGTAGTAAATTCTGTAAAATACTTTGGTTTAATTTGTGACTTTTTTTGTAAGAAATTGTTTATAATATGTTGCATTTGTACTTAAGTCATTCCATCTTTCACTCAGGATGAATGCGAAAAGTGACTGTTCCCAGACCTCAGTGATGTGAGCACTGTTGCTCAGGAGTGACAAGTTGCTAATATGCAGAAGGGATGGGTGATATTTCTTGCTTCTCATGATGCATGTTTCTGTATGTTAATGACTTGTTGGGTAGCTATTAAGGTACTAGAATTGATAAATGTGTACAGGGTCCTTTTGCAATAAAACTGGTTATGACTTGATCCAAGTGTTTAACAATTGGGGCTGTTAAGTCTCACCATACATCACTGTGATAGAATGTGGGCTTTTTCAAGGGTGAAGATACAAGTCTTAACCACAGTGTAACTTGCAGTTTCCTAAAAAAGAAAAAAAAATAAACCTGGCAGCTATAGAATACACTATGTGCATTTATAATAGCTATTTTATATATTGTAGTGTCAACATTTTTAAATTAAATGTTTTACATTCACAAGTGGTGGGGAGTCTTGTCATTAAGGTGTGTGTAATTTAGAGTCCAGTTGGTTTTCTCCTAACTAGACTGCTCTTGTTTTCTATATAGTAGTAAAATGCTATGTGTATACCTTGCATAAGTCCTCATTCTACCACATTAACCCTCTAGCTGATATTGCGGACACTAACTGGGGGATTTTGTTTATAAGGGCTCTAGAATAACAAGTTACTCACACCAGCATCATCTGTTACTAATATTCTAGTTCAGCTTTTCATTGTGTTGTGGTTGGTTGCATAATTAGGTTTTTCTGATCCTTCTGAGAGGAAAACAATACCAAGGTTCATTTTTTTTTTTCCTTGTGGAGTTAGTGTGAACTTGCTATGGGAGAGGAGGAGCATACTGCTTCAGTGTATTGGACCTCTGCCAGTTAAGATGGTGTTGGGTTAGGTCACATCTGGTTACTGTCCTGGGAAAAATCCCTTTTATAGAGCTAGCCTTCCAAGGGGTTTTTTAATTCATCATATTTGAAGTTTTTAGGTCGATTATGTATGTTGACTAAATTTACAAATAAAACTTCTTTATTCAACAAAGTGTCAAAAACCTAAATTGAATGTACAAAGCTTTAATACATTCATTATGTAGGTTCTATATATTCTAATGTTTGAGTAGAGGTTATTTCAGCTTTTGTGTGGTAGACAAAAGAACCATTTACTTTTAAAAAATCAAGCATGTAAACAGAAATGTGATGAGCTCTAGGGTGTAGCCCTGTGGTAGTGCTTGCTCAGCATGCAGAAGGCTGTGATGCTGCTACATTTGCAGTGGGCTTATGACAAAATGTACAGTATTAGTGTCGTACCCCCCCCCCGTAGTGTTAAGCAGCTAGGAGAAAAATTTAAGGTCTCAGGTTAAAATATAAGGTCGGTATTATGCACCTGAGCTTGGAGCCTTGGAAATTTTTACACAAATTAACACAGGCCTGTAGATGTTGAATTTATACTTGGAACATGATGAATATAAGGAGTACCAGATACCAAAACTTCACCTCCATAGCTATGAAACTGAATTCTTGCCCTAAAAGTTTCATATTCAAGGTGCTTAAAAGGTGAGACAGGAGGTGATGAGCATCTATGTGAGGTGTTGCAGGTGGGATCCAGTTCATAGAAGGTCGGTTAGAATCATCCAGAATACACTTGGCAGAGAATTTCCCTAAGTTGTGTGCTTTGAACAAGATTGAAATTCTATGTACTTGGGATGTACCATGAGTCTGACAGTATCTTAGGAACAGCTGTGCGATTAGTGTTAACTACTGGTAACAAAAGTGGGAGATGCTACTGGATGTATACTCTCCATCTGCAGCCCAGAAGCTGCTTAAATAGTGCAACATAGGGTACCACACTTCCCTTGTACACTTAACCCAGAAGACAAATATCTTTTGGTTCTAGGAAGCTGTCCATACAGGATATTCCTGGGTAAGGGCAATGGACCGGAGTCTGTGAGAAGGAAAGTAAGAGATGGAGCTGATGAAGGTATCCTGTGCCCTTGATGGATGAGACAATAAAGTTTATGAAGTTTTGAGATTTTCTTATCTTGTTGATGGTTTTCATTTGATGTCTTTTAAACAAAGCTTGGAAAGGTTTAGAGAGCCTTGCTTTCATGGTGGGTGTGGGGAGGACACTTGAAAACTGAAGGTAGGCAGATGATACTTTTTTTGAAGGGGTATGGGATTGAACCCATGGGATGCTAATCTGCTATTTAGGGAGATAGTCTTGCTAACTCCCAGACTGGCCTTGAAGTTACCTTATCTGACTTCAGCCTACTGAAAATAGCTAGGGTTACAGTCCACCACACCCAGCTAGACTTTTTGCCATGACCTCAGATGGATCATTGGGTGTCAGCCCAACCCAGGGTTACATTTCCAGCCCACTGTGAATTTTGAGACAGGTTTTGTAAAGTCGGCAAATTAGCCACGCTGGCTTTGAGTTTGGGATCTTTCTGCCTCAGGCTCCAAGAGTGCTCGGTTTACAGCCCTGTGCTATTTTTTTTTTGTTTGTTTGAGATCCTCTCCCTCTGTAGTTTACGCTTTGGCAATTCTGCCTTCACCTCTGCTGAATGTTCAAGTTACAGATGTCCAGCTGTATGTAGGCCTCTGTAGCTTCCTCATTTTTGCCATAGTTTGCCCAGGCCATTTGTTTTTGTGGAATAGTACCTATGATAATGGCCCAGTTTGGCAATTATGTAGTCATCCTGCATACTCATAGCATTAAGATGTGTGGGGGAAACCTGTTGAATTGTTTTAAGAACAGATTGTGGGGAATTAGGCAGAATTTTAAGGTGTGTGTATGTCTTTCCCAGAGTATTCAGTATTGTGCATCTGTAATTCCTGCAGTCTTGGAGGCTGAGGCAGGAGGATGGCAAGTTTGAGCTGGGCAATTTAGTGACTCAAAGGCTGGAGATAAACTGCTCAGTGTGGAGGCCCTGCCCTGGGTTCAATCCTCGTTGCTTGTTTAGACCATTTTAAATCTTGTAATCCCAGCACTTGGGAGGCTGAGCCAGGAAGATTGCTGCCAGTTCAAATCCAGTCTGAGCTACAAAGTAAGTTCAAGGACAGCCTAATCTGCATAGCCAAATGCTGTCTCAAAGAGAGAATATATATATTTTGCAGTGAAAAAAGAACTGAGCTTGGTGGCAAATGTATGTAATCCGGGGCTGGGGATTTAGCTCCGTGGCATAAGCACCTGCCTTGCAAGCAGGCGGTCATGAGTTTGATCCCAGGTACCAATAAAAAAAAAAAAAAAAAGTATGTAATCCTAGCACTGGAGGCAGGGTCAGGATTACCACCAGTTCCACATCAGCCTGAACTACACAGCAAGACCCTACCTCAAAAGATCACGAAGGACAGACGAAGGACAGGGATTTAGCTCAGCAGGACAAGTGCCTGTCTGACAAGCACAGGTTCATGAGTTTGATCTCCAGTACCAAAAAAAAAAAAATTAAGATCTAGTTTATCTATGAAGCCATCTGTGTATCCACAGTTGGTTCTCCGATGAAGCCAGCTGGGGGATTTTACGTAGAAATGGGACCTAGGTGGTGAGTAAATGCGTAATAGGAGACAGGAGGGTGAAAAGGGCAGAGAAACGCGGGCCGTGAGCACCACTTCGCCTGAGGTGGGCCTGGTTTCTGGTAACAACTTCAAGGCAACCATGGCCTTTTGCCACCTTCCTGAGGCGACAGGCTCAGCTGTGACTTGAGGATGTTTGGCACCTTGAGCTGTCCGTTAGCAGACCCTTACTGGTCCTGGCCTAGGAACTACCTGCCAAAGTTTGGGAAAACACCTGGAAGAGCCAGCAGAGACCACCACATTATTTAGAGCTTTCCATGCTGCTCCCAAGACTGATCTCTGCTCAGGTGTGGTGGTGCCCACAGTTTTAATCCCAGCACTCAGGAGGCTGAGGCAAGAGAATCAGCCTGCACTACATACCAAGACCCAGTCTCCAAGAAAAAGCCTCGTCTCGGCTGCCCCCCTGGCCAGTGTCAGAATGTATAAAGAAAGAGCTAAGTTTACTGGCCAAACAAAATGTGCTATTTTCTACGTTCCGTTTGCTGGATCTTTCCCTAGTTTCCCCAAAATGGTCTTTGCTGCTGTTCTTCATACCTGGCTTCTTACACAGACTGCTTCCTGTGTGGAACTAGGCATCTGGGCTGGGGTTTGAGAGCGGTCAGGAAGTAGTTCCTTCACTCAGGCACTGGCAGGTAAGGCTGCAAAGGGAGGAACACAGCAAAGCACGATTGTCTACCGTTGATCAACAAGAGACCCAGAGGCCAGCCCTTTATTTTCTGCAAATCTGACACCTGAGCCTTAGGACTGTGGCCATTCTAGCAGGCACAGAATGATTTTCACCCTCTTCTGCAGCTCAGGGGCCAGTTGTGTATGTAACATTTTCTGGTCTTCTCACCAAAGAAATCGCACCCTGCCCACTTACCTGAGGCATCAGCTAAGCCTCACTTAGGCCCTCTCAGCAACCACCTTCCTCACCTCAGTGGTGCCACTTGACTTGTTCTGTGCAGCCATTGCTCAGAAATGCCCTCAAGGATGTCACCAGTTGAGACCATTTCATACAGCTAAGCTTTGCTTTTTTTTTTTTTTTTTTTTTTTTGTTACTGGGAATTGAACTCAGGGCCTTGTGCTTGCCAGGCTTTGCTTCAGATCAGTAGCATTAGCACAAGCAGCTGGCCTTCTACCTACCTTCTCAGGGACAGAGGAAAGGAGAAACAGCTAGGTGCCTGTTTATGTTTTGTTTTGTTTTGGTCTTTTTTGAGGCAGGGTTTCACTATGTAGTTCAGGTTGGCTTTGAACTTACTTTGTAGTTCAGGCTGGCCTTGAACTTCTGATGATCCTCCTGCCTCAGTCTCCTGAGTGCTGGGATTATAAGCATGTACCATGATGCCTGTGTGTGTTTGTTTTGTACTAGGAATTGAATTTAGGACTTTAGGCTTACCAGGCTTACCACTGTGCCACTGAGCTATATCCTCAGCCCTTGCACATGTTAGTCTAAATCCCGAAGCAACACTCCTAGGAAGAAGGCTGAAGATGCCCTACCAAACACGCTGGTCCACGTGGCTAGCTTTTCAGTGTTTTGTTTTTCTTCCTTTCTTTTTTGGCAGTACTGGGGCTGGAACCCAAGGCCTCATGCATGCTAGACAAGTGTTCTACCACTGAGTATATCCCCAGCCCTTTTATAAAATTTGAGACTGGCTGGCCTCAATCTTGTGTTCCTGCTAGCTGAGTAGCAGGGATGACAGATGTGGACCACGAGGCCTGACTTTTGTGGTCCAAAGACTGGGATATGAGAAAGCCGGCAGCAGGTTTAGGCACAGGGGGCGTGGCTTTAATTGTAAACTCTGGTTGTGCTGTGACAAACAGGAGAGATGGCATCCTCCCACTTTCTTGGGAGACTCCTGCTCCCTTGGTCCAGGGACTGCCCAGCAACCCCCGGCAGCCCCCACCAGACACCACCATTATTCCCAAGCAAAGAGCCACAGAACTTCCATGATGAACCTCAGCCTGTCCTGGCCCTTACCTGGTCACCATGTTTAACGTCTCGCAGGATCACTCTTACAGTTCAGATACACCGAGGGGCTGCGCTTCGCTGCTTGCCCTGACTAGTGTCCCATCCCCACCCCAGTCTACCTCTTTGCCCTTCCACATGGAGGAAACCAAGAGGTTCTGCAGTTTTCTCCTGCAGAAGCAAGAGAAGGTAGCTTCATTGAGGTTGTAGCTCTCAGAGGCATTAGAAAGCCTCATAAGATTTGGAAAGGGATGCAAAGAGGAAGGGACATGGGAACCAGGGTGTCTCATCCAGGACACTGCAGTTCTAGAAACATACAGTGGGATAGAGGTAGGCAGGAAGGCTGAGAAAAGATTTTTGCTATATAGTTTAGGCTGGCCTTGGACACACTGCACATCCCAGACTGCCCTTGAACTTGTGGCCACTCTTTTGCCTCAATTTCCAGCACTGGTGACAAGAAGACCCTGGGAAGAAAAGGGGACTGGGCTGCAGGTTTAGGGCATGTGGTTCTTATTTTTATTTTTTAACAGGAGCCCTGGGATTTACCTCAAATCCTTGTGATCTTCCCACCTCCTCTGGTGGCATACTGCACTACAGGATTTTCCCACAAGCTCCTTGCTACTTAGCACTAAGCCATCACACAGATGGGATAGGCTGGCTTGAGCCCAAGGCCTGGGCACATGGCCCCAGTGTCCTGCTTTGGAGCATAGTCCTCTCCCTTCCTAGCTCCCTGCCTTCAGCTCAGCTCAGTACTGTCCACGTCCAGTGGCCTGAGACCTGGGCAGCTTCAGTCTCAACTGCAGCATTCTGGCTATGCTGCAGTCCTGAGCTATAAGCCATATCTCATAAGTCTGGATTTGCCCTGGCCACCAATAGGGTGATCGTCAGCCTAGAGGACAAGTACTTCACAGAGAGAGTGGGGCCACTAAATAGAGAGACAGAACCTGCAGGGGTTTTTTTGAGCAGGGACTCTGAGGCCACAGAAATCTGGGATTCTAGAGACAGCAACAGTCTTGCCTGCCCGTAAGTCATGTCTGGTATATACAGCAGAGGTTCAGGCTGGTTTGCTGACCAAACCGAATGGGCCTGGAAGCCCATAGTACAGCTGGCCAGCTCTCTTCTGGCATGAGTGCAGAGGTTCATTCTAGTCCCCAGAAGCTTTGGGTATTGGCCTGGCCTCCAAGTGAGGAATGTCCCACATAGGAAATGGGGCTCCAGGAGTCTGGGAGAAAATCCGTACCCTCTATCCTTCACTGAGAAGAGATTGAACTTTGAATCTTGACTTTTTAATTTATTTTTATTTAAAGATAGAGTCTTGGGACTGAGGGTTTAGTTCAGTGTCTCAAGTGCCTCCAGGTGAGGCCGTGAGTTTGATCCCTGGTGGCAGTGGCGAGGGAAGAGTCTTGGTGTGTAGCTCAGGCTGTCCTTGAACTCACTGTATAGCCCAGCATTAAAGTTTTGATCCTCCTTTCAGCCTACTAAATGCTGGGATTACAAACACGGCCCTCACCTGGC